GGTTGTTTGTGTGCTTAGGACACCCGACGAATCGTCTTTATCAACAAAGCCTCACTGATGGCAAGCGATTTCCGACTGCGGTTACGTAAAAACGACTTGAACGAATTCACCGGGTTTCATTAGAGTTTTGGGGATGCACGAGGCGCGGGTCCCGTGCATCACTTGGTCCACTCAATCACGTTGCCACAGGGCTGGCATGAACCACATTGGGAAATGTCTAACCATCCCGTGAGTCATTTGAACTGATGAACCGGGCGATACCACGGAGGCTGAACTGTCTGTCAATGTACTCTGGCGCTTCTGGATGACATTGCTTTTGGGATTGTACACAAGCGGTGCTCATGCAATCGTGTATGTGTGCGATAAGGCAGTCCTGGTTTAGTATCAAGCCCCGTTCACACATGCTTAATGCCTACGGCACCGATGTTACTGGTAAGTGTCTGCTTATTTACGACTGCGCACCATTACACACCCATCAGGAACGTACGTTCCAAGAGAAGCGATAACAATCAGGTAGACTTGCGACTCGCGCCACATTCGCCTTCACTGAACCAAGTAGATTTGAGCAGCTTGAATGCATCTCTCATTTTTGTGCACGCTAACAGCGCAAATCTGACTTACTTGTAAGAAACCGTGATGGCTAAACCGTTCCACGCACCATGCGCTACGAAGCAACCTACGGAGGACAACACATTAATCAGACCAATCGGTGGTCGTGTACCAGGCATGTCTGGGAATATATCGTTGGCCCGTTTGATTTTCGCAATTTATTTATTTTACTATATCCTCTAAGTTGCGTGCCAACCCCGTCTCGTGAAAACCTTGTTGCATAGGGCTAGGAGAATTCGCAGTCCTTACTCACTAAATACTGAATGAAAGTGTTTATAAAACGAAATACTTTGCAATGTATGTCCTGAGAAAATCTTCAGGTTCACTGCAGATCCTGAAAAAGAGAAGCTGTCAGTTCTTACGGTCACGAGAATGATTATTTTCCTGTTTCTACCGTTCAAACCGCATAATGTTGCTAGCGGAACTTGACAGTAAATCAGTTCCATCATATCGCGGAGATACATGACCACTTAACCAAAAATGGTCTACACCCAACAAAACTTCCTGTCATCCAGAACTACAAGAATACATTGCCAGACAGTCCCGCCTCCATGGTATTGCCGAGTGTATCACTTCAACTTATTCAGAGGATGGCTGATCCATTCGTAATGAAATTAGAGCTATCCCTGTTGCGACAACATTAAGTGGACCAAGTGACGAACAGGACCTACGCCTCTTTCATTCCTAAGTCACAATAAAGTCCCGCTGAATTCGTTCAAGTTGTTATTACGAAACCGGGGTAGGAAAACCCTTGCCATCAGTGAGGTTTCGGTGTTAAGGACGATTCGTTAGGTGTGGTGCACTGCGCGTGAAACCAGGAAGTGGATGATTCGTCACGACGCCGTTAAATTGCGTGTGTTTCTGAGACTCTGCACACACCAATACCAGGGAAGTAGATAGTGAGAGTTAGTGCTGCTGTTGGCCGATCTGAAAAAGTGTGTGGACGTCAAATGAAGCATTGCAAAATACGAATCTCGGTTTTATAGCTTCAGTTACGAAGTCAGTGACAGTCCCTTGCGAAATAAACGAGGAAGAGGAAAGTGGTACGCGTAGAGCAGAAGTGTTGACGACCGGGTCGAGGTGGCTGATTATACTCTCCGACTGCCGATTCCGGAAGAAGGTTGTTGATTGAGGTGCCCTACCTCTAGCCTTTCACTCAATAGTCTGACCCACAATGTAGTCAAGTATATGGAGGTTCACTTGCGTGACTCCACCCAGAACCTTTGGCTCAACAGCTTGGCTAGTGGGGAGTTAGTCCAACTGGAGAGCGTGATTGCAGTATCTTACTGGGATCCGCTTGAGGCCTGTCGGATACTGCTTTTGAGGATCTAGGGCAATTGATATGCGACCACAGCCAACCGCATGTGGGAATTGGCGCGTTTGTACCTATCTCACCAGGAGTTGCCTGGATTGAAGCGAGAGGTAGCAAATTATTAAGCACCTCGTGGTGCACTCCCACGATCAGAGACAATGCGTAGCACTCGTGATCTACGCCAATCGAACTGTGAGATACTTTAAAACCCTTGTCACTCTGGCTATTCTAAGGGAAGAAGACCATGGACCTCTACCTACGCTCGAAGAGGATTGTGAGACTGAGTTAGTTTGGTATAAGCAGTCCTGATAGGACCCAGGAGGTGCCGCCGAAGAAAGCTCAATAGGTCACGAAGGTACGCAAACCATCGCATCAAGATAAAGTCCAGTCGCGTCACGATGGGATCTGTTTCTCCGCCACGTCGCAATTGTACTGTGTCGTATCATTCTGAGATTTGCATTTGCTTACGAGAACAGTTTCTACTTTCGTGACATACTACGAGTTATTGCTGATAATAATGCTTATTTCTCAAAACGTTCATAGTGCATTTGACAGCTGTGCATCGGAAGGATTCAGTTCTCGTAGGTAGGGTGACTACCTGCGTGTAAGATATTCCGCATACGATAACACAGCTTCTACTTCTATAGGTTTGAAACGCGGACCTTACACTTCTCTATCGTCGAACTTGACCTGCGTCACAGGTTCGGGATGACGGGTTGTTCTGAGCAAACGGAAATGGCTTTACAAGCTGGGAACCACCACGTAAAACAGGCAATTCAAGCAGGGCAACACAAACTGAAGCACGTCGTCACTGATCTGGAGCAGACTCAACGTCGGGTTTCCAAGTACTTCATTGGAACGCGTAATTTGACTTATGAAAAGAGGCGTAAACACTGGTATTGCTGATTAGATGACAAGCTGCTAATGATTACATTGTTCTGAGTTAGCCAAATTATGTACGCTGCTATTTACTGCAGGTTAGCAATAACACCTAACTGAGATCATTCCTTAAAACTGGCATGATAGTATAACCGCACCGAGTGTTGCGGATTTTTTTTTCTCCGTTTTTGTGTTTCGTCTCTGGAACAACACCAAATTCGGTCTATTTCGCATCATTACAAATCATGTGTGAAGACTGTTGGAGGAACGAATCAGACACTTGCATGTCTTAGCAACGGCAATGGGAACCATGGCCCAAAGAAATGACTTATTCCCCAGGGGGAAGGTCAGTCGAACAACGGCACAAAAAAAGCAATAGTTGAGTGAAACCGCGGTGAGGATGCCAATGTGCACTGCACGCGCACTCATCCTGCTTCGAATCGCTGCATCCATGAATAGCGGATCTCTCAACATCGCGTCAGTGAGCATGCGGCACCCCGAAGCACACCGCAGTCCACACGCTCTCCACGCTCCTCCGGTCTCACTATCCCAACTTCCATGCCAGCCGATCATCGACAACGGTGTGTGTGAGTGATTTCATGTCATCATCCCCATGGTCCAACTCATTCACACTCATTCACGTGGGTGCCTCGCAATATACGGACAGCTCAGCGATGAAATGGGCGGACACACCGCGTACTCGTATTTCACGTAGAAATGAAAATGCCTGAATGGTTACGTGCCACACCCCATGCTCACTCTTGACTGCTAAGCCCAGATGGAACCTAGTGAGGTTTGCCAGTTTACCCCTATCATGTGTGTAGCTTCAGTGTAGCCAGTCATGATTGAATGCGAGCGTCTAGCGACTAGGCACCCATCAAATTGCATGCGATCTGCGCCACACCAATGCCCTCTCTGGTAACTCATCTCGTAAACTCGTCTAATATGCTGTTGCTTGAGTTGGGATTGATCACTCATTTAGGGGTGCGCTTTGGTGTGTTCGAGCCGGGTGGATGATATTTGATTGTCTTAAGGACGATTTTTGAAAGATGTGTGGACGGAAGCTACTTCTTTAAGGCTGAGTTTGAAGGCGTTATTTATGGAAATAACTGTGATTAGGTGTTTTGGCGCATTTAGTTTTTGGAATTCATTTACGGTTTTTTCCGTTTGAAGTCTTTTGTCTCCAATGACACCTTTGTCTCTGTTCCTGCTTTGTTCGTTTTTAATTCCGTGCAGGATAATCGTTGTTTTATCTTCGAATCGCTTTTGGATGTTTCAATGTTAACCATATCCACCGTGGGTCATTTTACGGACCGTATTTTTGATACGGAAATGGGCTGTGTCTGTCTAACATGGTTTGAGTATCTCTTGGACATGCGTAGTAGACGACAACCTTTCCGAAACCCTGTTGCACCTCAAATATATACATCCGATACTATATGCTTCTCTTCCACAAGACTTATCTGGGCACCTAATCGCAACTGTACAGATGTTTTTGCGTATGTGCTACCGTTTTTTTTACTATTACGACACGCAAGCATTTCATGAGTGTTATATAAAACTAATTTGCTGCAAATCTAGTTCTCATTAGATATGTGCATTATATAGCATTAGTTTGTTAAGCGGTAACTGTGCTTCACGTGTGTCATCCTTTTACTCCCGATTACACAGTTCAGCTCACGAAGCATTTCAATACTTCTAACGACGTCGTATCGTTTTTTGAGTTAGTGGCATATTATGCAACCGATACTTAGACAGATTTGTCAGCCTGCGTGGTATTTGATACTCTATGTAAAGACACTACGCAACTGGCCCTGTGGGTTGTGATTACTACAGTACCATCGTATTAGAACTGAAGGAACCCAAAATCCCGAGATGCATACTCAACCGTCCCACTGCAACAAAGCAAAAGATTTTTTAACGTAACGTTGAACACTAAAGCTCTTACAACGGCTGTGGCAAATCTGATCGAGCTAGAGACGAAAAAATTGATAGCCACTGTTTACTGTACCAGTTACTTCAGTAAGGTTATTTGAATCCCGGTCCACTTTAACAAACTCCAGTGTACACTTCTGTATTCTGCTTGAACGCTAAACCATTAGGGACCGTGTATAGTCACGCAAGGCTTCGTTTCATTTACTCCTCTTTCTATGACGTGCAAGAGGAACAGATTTTGCAAGTTCTTTGAAAAGTGACTCACATTGTACGTCCAATTCAATAGTGCGCGAAGCCGTTTTTTCCAGTCCATTGGTGGCCAAACATTTGTATAAGCCATTCATCATCCTTGTTACATTGGTTATACGCAAGTGATTTGGTTCCAAAATAAATCCTGTGGAAGAGGATTAGTCGCAGTTAAGTAATACGCGTCGTACAGTTAGTATTTTCTTTCTATGCATCATCAGCAAAAACGTGTTCATGGGCTAATTTCGAAAAATTTTTAATAATGAAGTTGGGCTGGTGCAATTTTGGAGGAAAGCTCGGCTGTGAAACGCAGTGCGCCTGTCTATGTGACAATGTTTCATTTCAAACTGCTATTGCAGTAATACTACTACCGCCAAAGAGTGGCCAGATGAAACAGGATAAAGAAGGAAGATCAGATACAACCTTGTATTTTGAAGGTTAGATTATGCACCTTGCCGGAGTGATCCGAGACATTGAATTCCTCTGTGCTCTATTACCGTTGTGTTTGTGAAATCCAAGCGGTAAATTAGTAAAGCAAACGAATTTATGGACACAGTGTTTGTGTAATAGTGGTTGCATAATTAAAGTCATGGACCTAAGAAAGAGTAGCCAATTCGAAGCAAGCAAATGCCCTCATCTAATAACCATGAAGTGCACGTATTTAGTCAAGACGAATCAATGGAGAAGACAACTCTAATTCCCAGTGTAGTAATATGACGACGCCAGAATGGTGTATAGCAAACAGATGCTTTTCCGGCAGCAACTAGGATCATGATCACTACAATCTATTCAAACATAAATTTAGGGATCTGCAAAGGTAGTATGCGCGTGAAAATGTTATGCCGTCTGAGGCCAACGCTTTGTTTAAGCTGGCATTAGCGCAGGTGTATGGCTCGCGGTCAGATTACCGTTCCTACGGGTGACAACAAATTGAATCGGGTGTTGGGTTCTTGTCCCAAAATCCTAAGAGTCCAAATTACATAGGCTAGTGACTGAGTCTAAGTGAAAGTAACTACTATTGTTTACACTGTAGCTACGGAAAAAGGCCAGCATTCATTTTCCCTTGCTGTCTCACATCTAAGGCATAGCTGGCGGTGTTGATAAACGGCAAGTTATGTGCTCCCAAGGGATAATGCGTTGGTCAGCTGTCACTTCCAGATCGGTCCGTCTATCCTATGTGGATCTGATATAACATGTCTTCGCATCTGAGTGCATTGGCACAAAAATTCTGCAACGATCCTGGTGTAACGTATCCATGTCATCCCCCTTTGTGTGAATGTGCACTATGTTTCGGTCGCAGTTAATGGAAGTAACATTTAACAAGCGAGCAGTAATTTTGGACTGAGCTAAATCTTTCCACAGTTGGAGCATTCAAACTCATAAACAAAATCATTACGGGCTGCTGGGGTAGCAGGCGAGTTCACAGTAAATTCGGCTATCCCTTTTACCTTGATCAACTTTAGTCGCTTCAAACAACAACTGTATAATTTCGCTAACAGATGAATGTTGACCCCGACTGTCACAGTAGGATGCTGGAAAGTGGTTGTAACGATGAAGCTCGATAATAACTTTGCGTTGCTTTTTCAAAGGGAGATGAGCGAGTTCAGCAAACCCTTTGCACTCTGTGATTGCACGGATCTGGTATTAAAAAACACATAACGAATCACTTCACATTGTTTCGAGACACCGATAATGGAAGTTTAACCAAAATAACTCAGGCTCGTCAAGAGCAAAGTGATGTTGTAATCCAGTAGTAGTTTAATTCCGGTAGAGCGAAGCTCCCTACTAAACGGCTGTCTACAACTTACTCCCCACAAACACTAGGATAAGCCAGTTAAACCAAGTTCTAGCTACAGGGAATTGGCCTCACAAATAGGCCCTTCGTCTTTCCTCAATGGCTAACTAATACTGATAAAATAGTCAGAAGACACTCAAGGTAGATACATGAATTACACTTCGAGAACAGCAAAGCTCAAGCAAAATATTTATGCAAAAGCTGGAGTGCGGCTTTTTGTTGTCTAAGTTTTGCCCTGCTATCCATATTTTCCCAGTGGTGATGCGGAATTTTACATCTCATCCAGACGTAAAGCTCTACCATAAAACCAGTGAACAAGACATACTGCAGCTAAATGTCTATAAAACTATAATGTTACTTAAAATGTTAGGCAGATGGCGCTTCGTTTTCGCTAAGGTGTCTTGCACTAGCTCCAGAATAGTGAAGTTACACAATTATAACTGCCGCTATTTAGGTTTAAGCGCAATGCAAGGCATGGACAATTAAAATTTTGACTATCAGTAGGAATAATCCTCCTCATAACGATGCTCATCGGGGTTATCGTATACACTAAAAGGATATCAAATTAAACAAGGCCGATAATAGTCTCTGTCACGCCATTTGTATGGTTAACACACCAGGCACTATGTTTACATTGTACCGGTATAGGTAAAATAACCATGTTCACCTTGGTTTAACACATGTTGCTGGTTTTGATTTGTAAGTTTGCATACACTTTTTATCAAATAGTCCTTTTCAGACTCAGCTGCTTTTTACCTCTTTCTCTCACATGCTACGCAAACTATGTGGCAAACAGAAGACGCATTCATAGCGTGCTCAGCCCATCTTACTTGCTTTATGCGTATCTCATGGTTTGGAAACTGAAGAATAACTGGTTTTTGATTCGTTGACGTTATTCGTCTGTAGATCACGCATCATAATTTCATGCTTGTTTGTAAAAGTAATTTGATATACTCACGGCTATCGGTGGCGCGGTTTAAAGGCATTGATGAACCATCCCGAGGAAGCAGGTGCCAGGTGAGTGTTGGTTCCGGAATTCCCCAAGCTTTGCAGTAAAGTACCGCGCTGTCGCCTTCCTGAACCACAACTCGTGTTGGACTGGACGTATTGTCGTATATAATTGGTGGAACTAGTGTAGCGGAATGAGAATCACAAGAATTCAGCACAATATCAGCGTCCAAAATACTGAACTTTAACTCCGTCAACTCAATAATTTAGATAACTTGATGGTGATATTTGAAATAGCGGTTATTGAGACAAAATAGCTAAGTACACTAGCAGCGAACAACAGATGGGCAGATAATACGATTTCTTAGTTTCAGCAAACTGAACAGATGAATAAATATGTTCTTAATCCTAAGTGAATTCGAAGTAATACCTGTTTGTGGTAAGAATTACAACTGCATTTTGTGCAGTTGACAAACTGGCAAACTACATCATTGTATATGTAACTAATAACCTTCTATGCAGTCGAATATCATCTTCGATATTTCACTGTGCAGAATAATCATACCAGAAGTGCGAGTTGAGGGACTTAGCAAATTAGACACCCATCAGATTATGAAAATTGGTGGGCTCTTGTGATCGGCATTCGGCCTTTGCAGAATCACTGGTCACTGCTTTCCATTTCGCCTCTCAGGCCATTAGACTGTGGTACGCAACCGGAGAACTAACATTCAGGTTGAGAGGAAAATATTAAAGCGGCTCGAATGTGCGGACATTCTTCGCCAGTACAGGTTGTGTAGTCTTTTGGGACAATACGCTTGGGTTACCAAACTCGATAGGAGTTGACTTTCAGTCGTGTAACGTATGGATTGCACTCATCAACATTTGAGTTACTGAAGTCATCTTCTATCGTGGATAGAGAAATATGTTAAACGTTATTTCACACTACTATTATCTTATCAGTAGTGAACGCAACAAGCTACAAGTGACAGACAGTATTTGTCACTCACCGAAAACGGTTAGCTCTATCGTCTGTTTGTATACATTCTGTCCATTTGAATACAAGCAAACGTAGGTGCCCTGATCATGCCGTTGCACATTATCGATGCGAAGATCCATCACCGTTTGATCGACAGAAGACATGTCTAGTATGAAACGTGAGTCTTGATGAAGCCGGCGATTATCGTGGATCAAATAATCGTTTGTGCTCACTCTCTTCCATAAAAGCTAAAAGTTAATATGAACGAAAAGTGTGTAATGATGTTATTCAGAGTAAGATGGGCACTTATTTGGGCTAATATTAGGATGAGTAATGTCTGCATCAACTCTTGCCACCCTGGAGTAAGTTTTCGGTTTTAAGTTGTGTGAGCCGAGATTGTTTGAACAGTAAAGCTGTCGCATTTTGTAGCCAAAACTGTGCACAGAGAAGAGATCAACAGCCAGCGCAAATTTTCCCTACTTCTTTGAGATCAGGACACAGGGTATAAGTTGTTAGTTCCTCTCGTCTGGATAAAATAACTTAGATGAGACAACTAAGATTTGTGAGCATTCTATAGAATGCCGATTAGTTTGCAGATACATGAAAATCTCGTATCACACTTCATGTGTTATTGGCAAAGCTCTCTGTAACAGACACGAATCCAACACACCATGTAAACTGTCAGCATTTGAAGGCATGTTAATTATGCGTTACCTGTTTGCTAAAGCATTCCCTGGGTTATGTCTTTCCTTCAAGTCGGCACCTTTGCTAAATTATAAATGAGATCTTTCATTCTTAACTACTCTACTGGTTTTTGACTTAACCAGTAGGCTAATGACCTAGAAATGTCATCCTCGACAAAAGTTTTGTGGGTTTGACAAAGCAGTTTACAAGTTTTTTTTTAGAAAGACTTGAAATGATCATTAAACAAACTACATCATTTATGAAAACTTTAATTTTGCTACCATATAATGTAGTGTGACATTATGCATGGTGTTTCTCACCGTTCCTTTCTTGACATCATCTTGCGGAGCAGTTGCTTTACGAGCTTTCTTCAGCGGACGGCACGGTAACACGGCTGTTTGGTTGACGACGGCTTCGACTACAGTGTCTACTCTATGACGTTCGGTGTGGACTGTCCCAACGCTGCTTTTCTCGTATAGTAGCGGCGACTTCATAGTTGTGTACTGTGAGCTGCTTCTTACTTTCGTAGAAAGGGATCCGTTCGTTTCAGAGGAAACTGAATACAAAAAGTGGAAACGTGTTTGGAACTAAAACAGTTAAGGTTATCCGGCTAGGTCTACGGTAGGTATACACGTTAGTGCCGTAAAGCTAACAAAACAAGAACTGTCTACAGAGAATTAAGGGGCTATACGCCTGAGATGTAACAACTCGGTTCCACAGAAACCCGATAATGTTGCAAAAAACTACTTGGTTGATTAAAAGCGCGCCTAAACTGATAAGCCCCATGGCAACTCAGAAAGTGGTGCTCTTAGTCTTGTTCGGATCGAACGATAGTCCTGTCAACGCATCAACACATAGACAAAGTTCAAGTGGACTGGCAACATTAGAAGTTTCAAGTTGGTGGCAGTTTCATACGCCTTTAATTAAGCTTGGGATACACCATCGTGATTCATAAAGTACATAGGTGAATGCGGAGTATTCCACTAGGTCCCAATTACTAATTTCTACTGATTGACTGTTGAACATTTGCGACATTGCCGTTTACCGTTTGCTATCCAGATCCATTTAGTGTAGTGGATTCAGTTGGCCAAATTTCCAAGCACTTGGGCGAGGAAGTAATGACGACGGGGCAACTTTCCTTATAGGACGGCATTCTATTTTATGGTGGTATTAATCTGACAACGTTACACACTCCAGTCTTAGAATAGTCCCAACAGATGCATCCACTGCACTATATGGAATCAGAAGAAGAGCTTGCATTTACTCTTGTATCGAGTATTTGGCTTCAGGCGGCAGCCTAGTCAAGTCAAGTCCAATAAAGCTTTATGTATTCAGATGGGTACGTTTTCAGCACTTCACAATATCGACTACGTATGAGCTAAATGTACATTATAAAAAATAAATTGGTAAGAATGGATAATAGGAATGGATTATAGAACAATATTTATAAGTGCAACTTAAATAAACGAGCAGTGTAAAAAAGCAACAGTTAAACAGTTCCGGACAAAATAGGTTAAAGCCAGCGTTGCAAGCTAGACTTTCAATCGGGACCGTCCATCTTCAAGTGCACAGTTTCTTGAATTTTCTCAAAGATTACGCGGGAACCGCGGCGATGACGTTGCAAATGATTTGACAGATATCCATGTTGAAAGATTCTGGGGACAATAATGTATCCATACCAATATGGTAAAAAGGATGTTCAGTGTCAATGGCACTTCCGATTAATTGGCCCCGCTCCCACAATTATAGCTGAAATGTAGACTGTATGGGTCTATTTTGCTTCTCTGAGCAATTGCACCTTTTTATCCTATATTTAACAAGTGCAAAATTGCTACAATAATCTATTACCAATCAACGTTTCATGCTTACACAAACGCTTGTAATGCCGCGTCACGTAATTAACAAGAATGAAAATTATTGACGTGAAATATATTTGCTGTTCAATGCAAATTTGTCAAAAGCTGACTTGCTGGATCTAGTCTGTGATGCCTTCAGAAAGCCTAAACCGGAAATCTTTTACTTCAGTCAACACAAAGTAAACATTTCACTTGAAAACGTCCACGTATACATGCATTGTGTGATACATCCGAGGAAAGAATTTGTCTTTTTCTAGGTTGGCCTTGGAAGTCTTCGAAGAAGGAAGTTGCAACGGGGCAATGGTTTATAATGAGTTTAAAAGCGAATGCTTGACATACCCTGTAGGCTAGTTTAGGTGATAAGTACAAAATAAAATTTCAGTGTCAGTAAAAGAATACGTGAAATACAAGACTAATCAAAGGGTTTGGAGTAACTCATGTGCAAGAAGGGTTATGAAACCGTTCACAGTTTGTTGCGCATTAATGCTAGCATTTCATGGTCATGGGTTATATCACGTAGTTTAAATGTGTCATAGAATCCTCAAGGCGTTAGTTAAAAAGGGATAAGTTAGGCCATTCGTTAAGGCTACCAGGAAGGCGTTCCAAAGTTGTGACACCCGGAAGGAACAAAGTTTTCGTCAACGCCCTACTCGGCATAAATTTCTGACTCCTTAGTGACGTGTTCTGACTCAGTTTCAAAAATGAACGGAATGTGTGGTTGGAGTAGCTCATAACCTGGTAACCCATTATGAGATCGCCATTAAGACGACCATACCGTACGCTTAATTGTTTGAGGGGTTTCAGCCTTAGTGGGTATGGAAAGCGGAACAAACCTCTGATGTGTTTTGTCGCACCGCGTTAGCGACAAGTTGCGTGGAAATCTTGAGTGAACACGTTTCCACGGGTTTCAATAAAACAACACCGGCAATTAACTACGGTACTGTCACAAATAATTAATAACAACCATGTACAATACCACAATAACCTGTGCTTCCGGCACAGGCGTATCAGACAACGACAACACTTCAAGGCAGCCAGTACATTGAGCTTCAATTTCACGCAGAATAGGCTCATCTTAAAGTACAGTGGCTCTAACAGACTTACTCGTGACCAATCGGAAAGGGAGATTGCCGTGAAAAGTGAGCGTTCGGCCAGCGCCTTACACACACATAAGTCGTGATGGTGTTGCAAGTGTTTCAATTGCACATGGAGTAAAAGTTACAATTGTCCTCACGGACGAGGTCATTTCAGGTATTTGAACTCTACTCACCTGATCTCGCAATATCGTCAGGTCACAGGCGATATGAGGAATGTCTTGCTCGCCAGTATCCGAATGCTACGGCGATGGAGGCAAAACGGAACATCATAAACTGGTAACATGAGGCCGAGCCACATGAAAAGACACTTAGGTCTGTTCAGAAGTTGGATATATTCGCCAACGCATGCATGGTTGAATGCTAGTCATCTATGTGTTCAAAGTGCAAATAAACTTAATTAACATGGCTCCATTGAGAGCTCCATTGAGAGCCAGATAACAAAGGTGGGTTGGGACAGGAAAAGGAGTTAAGAAAACGGTAAACGGAATCACAACCAGGACGCAGGGAGCAGCATGAAAGCAGCAAAAATAGGACGTTTGTGAATCTTCTGCGCCCTGTTTTGTGCAGTAGGGAGGGCGTTGAGATGGTACTTCAGCGAGGTTGCCAGGATTGAATGGCGTATTCTGCTTGCGGCTCCACGTACGCACCAAGCATTTTTGGTATGATCGAGGCCTCAAACTTTCCGAATGCTTTACGAAGAAGGCCGAAGTGCTGGTTTGCGTTCTTTGCTTCTCTTTCATTTTGCGTAAAACAACCGAGTTTATTTTGTACAAACACACCGAGATCACACTCCTGAGAAGCTCGCCGTTGTAATTGTGTTCCTAGGCTCTGATTATGAGTGTGCTAGAACTGTTGCATTTGTTGCCGTTGAAATGCAGGATGTTCTCGACGGACCATTTGTACGCTTTTTCCAGACCATCCCTTAAGGCTGTGTGGTACTCCGCCGTAGCTATTGCACGATATATCTTTATATAGTCGGCAAATAGCAGACTGATTGAAGATGACACGCTCGGGACAGCATTTATGTGGATCAGGAACAGGAGGTTTCCGAGTACAGTGCCCTGAGGTACGTCGCACTGAACACCGATAGGTTCCGATAAAGTGCCGCCAACGCTCACATTAAAGTGATGTTGAAAGAGAAAGTCCCCAATCCAGCCTGGAACGGGATCGCCGATTCCATATTATCAATGCTTGTACAGTAGAATGCAAGTCTGTAAACGGTCAATGGCTTATGAGAAATCCAGGTAGACCGAATTGACTCCTACACCAACGTTCACAGATATCGTCCAGTTTGCACCAATTCTCAATAAATTAGTTGTATAGGAACTATTTTGGCGAACTCCGGAACAAGAATCTTGTTACTCTCCAAGTGCCCCAGCAAAGCCTCAGCTGAAATGCACTCCATAACCTTAGAGATCAGCGGAAGTAGTGTTATCGGGAGATAACTTGCTGGTTCAGCACGGCTACCACTTTTTAGCTTGGAGTGAGGATCCCATACTTCCACATAGTGGGGAGGTGCACTTCGTTAAGACATCACTGAAGGAGTATTGCTAGCGCTTCCGATAAACTCATGGCAGTAACTTCCAATGCCTTCTGCGAATGCCGTCCGCACCCGGGGAGCTAAACTCGCGCAAAGAGATCAGCCTCTTCAGTGCAGCTGTGGAGTTATACGATATGTGGTTAAGCCCTGATGGCGGCATGACCTGCGTGGGCAGGATGTAAGCTGCTTGCAAGCATTGGAAGGTACGACCAAATTGTTGTCCAAGAAAGTTGGCCGCCGCTTGTGCCGTTTGTGCTAACCCGCGAGGTGTGTGCAGAGCATGAATTCCGCGCTTAACCCGGCGAAGTTTGTTTATATGTCTACATAGCAGTTTGGGCTTAGAGCAAACTTTTTCCACTAGTCCTTTTAGGTCCTTTAGTTTATCCTCCCGGACGAGTTTGTGATAGCAGTTCCTTTGTGCTGTGTAGACATCCCAGGTATCCTTTCTCGGGAAGGCTATGTTGGTGAGCCATGCCAAGTTCCTCAATGTCATGGATTTACGTGTCATGCTTCTAACGAAAGGCTGTCTTTTTAGGTCTGTACATTTTGGTTTTAGATGTGCTTGCCACGAGATTGTTGAATCTGTTGACGAATTTCCCGCAGGCGATCTCAGGGGACCATTCGGCTAGGAACGACCAGCTTGATGCATCAGTGTGGTCGGACAGGTCATCATAATTGGTTACATCGTGAGTCTCATCGGCACGCTCTTTAGGATACTCTGCGTAGCACATGCACTAGAACACTAGTGTCTCATGCTTTTTTCGGGCCAATGGCGTACATATTGTTATTACATGGCTCAGGAGTTCCTTGTTGGTGAAAATGACGTCCAAGATGATCGGTTTGCTTCCTGTCCTGAAAAGCGTTGGGGAACTGTCATGGGTGTACAGTGGTGAACTAACGAATAGGTCCTGCAGTTCCGCCTTGCATGTCTCACCGATCATGGCTGGGGTTTCTAGGCACTCCGTCAACCTTGTGCCGAGCGGTCGCAGAGAACTGTCCTCCTTCGCCTCCAAATCTTTGGATTTATTCTCACAGAGACCTACGTGCGATCATTCGATTTGGCTCCGCAAGCTCCTCCTACCACTTTTTTTATCTATTGGATCTATCCTTCACGGATTACCAGCAAACAGTGCTCTTGGAACTTCGAAGTCAACCGTATTTGAACTCCATCGGAGGTTTGATGTTTCCTCTCGTCGCATAAGCACTCTTGTGATCTTATTTTAAAGATCTTTTTGAGATTCACCCGATCACCTTACTAGCATTCCTTCAAGTTGCTCTACAAAGCGATAGTCGTCAATTTGATCCGCCCTTGGAACTGCCACTGTCGTCATTAGACAGTATTTTCCAAGTCACCTTGCTTTGCCTCAGCCCTACTTCGTATTGCTGCCTACCCTCTACCGGGTGGATCGATGGCACGCACGTCGCATATCTACCCTAAAGGACGTGTGACTCATCTGGCCGCGACACGCCTGGACCCGCTGACCTCGAACCAGCGCCGATCGCCACGCAACCGTGCGTCAGTATCTCTATCCTACCTACCTCTTAAAACGGCACCCCTACTGAGAACATGTCTCGTATGAAGAGTAAATGCGAATCATGCGCAAAAGTGATCAAAAGTGGTCGAGTGTGTACTATGTGTTTGAAATCCTATCACACTATCTGCCTTGGGAAGGGGTCGACGAAAGCAAACACCGCAGAGGCGTTTTGGTTCTGCCAAGTATGCAAGTCTATTCCAGTTGTTAGCTGTCTATCTGTGCTACTGAACAGGTGTGAAAGATTAACCGAAGCGGTCGAGTAACTGGTGAGCGTCCGAGTTACACCCATAGAAGGAAACGGACCTGCACTTGTGAGTGAGGATAACACCCCGAATTCCCTAGTCAGGCAGAAGAAGCGAGCCAGGCGTCCCAACCGAACCCCAAGGACTCAGCCTCCAGCAGTATCAAATGCATTCTCTCTCCCTCCTATGAGTAAAAACAGTGAATGCAGCGCGCGTGCCTCAACTTCTGTATTGTGTGCTGCACCTAGTAGTCTGTTCGCTACACCCGAGACAGTAAACTACAGTCAACCAGCAATAGTGAACAACCCGGCAATCTGCGCATCGGTTGCCGCCAAGCAAACACTGGAAAGAGCACCGGTAACATTTGTGCCCGCACTAGAGAAAACAAAACTGCCGCAGCACGGATGGCACACACCAGTGCCGTTCACAAATTCAACAAAAACACCGGATACTCAGCCTTCAAATCCAGAACCAGTAGCCATCAGGCGCAACCATGGTGCCCTAAACATTGTATGCACAAATGTTCCCGAATCCAAATCCAATACAATTAAGGGTAAGTTGATGGACGAGCGAAATCAGCGGGGTTCCATCTGTACGTCGATCGGTGTCCATGCTAATCCCACGAAATTAAGAGGAATCTCGCGTCACCCAAACGCGTTGCTCTAAGATGAACCCCGGTTACTTCGGGTAACACTAAACTCGGCGGACGAGACTGAGACCTTTCTGCTGTCTGCGAATCGTCTCTGCAACGATTCAAGTGGAGTGCGCATACTACCCGAAATCCCGTGGAAAGAACGTTCAGAGGATCCCGCTAACAAAGATAGGCACAGAATAAGTCAAGATAAAAAAACAGTGCTTGCTCACGGTGTTCCTGAGCTTACTGACTCCTCTTCCGACGATGCTCAGATGCACGACCGCGAGCAACGGCGCTACATCTGGGAGGCTCTTTCTCTCAAAACTGTGGTGGTCACCTCGTTGACAAGGATCCCCATATCACCAAACTATAAGGGGTGCGGTCCCAGTCTGTTAAAACTTGTGTTACAGTCAGAACTAATAGCACAAACCCTACTAGCGAACTAAATTAGATTCCATTGCAGATTGCCAACAGAAATTCGTCTGAAGGCAGCAGGAACACCAGCACCTTCTAACGACAATTCAGTAGAGACCCAACTCTTAATGAAAACGCCAACTGCAGGACGCCACTCGGGGACGGTTTCAAGAGTAGCCATAGTATCCGGAGGGGCACAGCAGAGCACGAGCAAACACCGGGATTTGGGGCATCTAATACCTGCTAATATATCAAATGCTTCTCGAGAGTATGCAAACCATCCAAAAAACGATTAGTCGCCGACCCTTTAATGGTCGGCGTAAACTCATTTGCTTCATCCATCCAATCTAACACACTTCTTTTAACTCTCATCATCTAATCAATACCAAATCCAATTTAAACACCTCAACTTATCATAAATAAATACATTCTACATTCTACATCATCAATTTACCACATCTAACCTCTCCTATTAATCTATCTCTCACATTCATCATCACAATACACCATTTACATACCTAATATTCCTTATCTCCCCTCCAAATATATTACTAAATAATACCCCCATCACTAATCATCCCCACCCCCCCCCCCCCACCACCCCCCCCACCCCCACCCCCACCCACACCACACACCCCCCATACCAACCCCAACCCAAACACCTACCCACCCATCACTCACCCCCACCCACCACTCAACCCCCCCCAACCAACCCAACCCAACCACCCACCCCACCCCCCCACCCCCCCCCCACCACACCACCCACACCCCAAAACACCCAACGTACCCCCACCACCCCCCAACCCCCCACATCATACCCACACCATCCAACCACAATTCACCCCCTCACCACCCACCCCCCACCACACCATCCACCCACCCCCAACCCACCACCCCACACCAACCACACCCCCCCCCCCACCCCCTCACCCCCCCAACACCACCCCCCCCCACCCACCCCACCCCTACCCCCACCCCCCACCCCACACCCCCCCCACGCACCCCACCCCCACCCTCCCCCCACAACCATAGACCCATCCCCAACAGACCGCTACCCCCCCCCACACCCACTACCCCAACCAACACCCCCCACAACTACCCCACTAATATAGAATCACAACACACCATACCCACCCCACCCTCACACACCAGAAAAAGCAAAATACTCCATCCACACCCCCCCCCACACCCCATATCCCCCATACCCCTCCCCCACCACCACCCCCCAACCAAACCAACACCACCCCCCCACACCCACCCACCCCCCTCCACCCACCCCCCATACACACAACACCCCCCCACCCCCCCCACACCAACCCTTTCAAACCCACTCACCCCCGCAACACCAACCCACAATCCCGCCCCCCATATCCTACTCCTCCGCGCACAAACCCCCCCCCCCCCCCCTAAATATACCTCTACACCCCCCCCCCACACTAATCACACTCCCTCTCTCCCGTTGCCACCCCCCCCCCAACCCCCCCCCCCCCCCCCCCCCCCCCCCCCCCCCCCCCCCCCCCCCCCCCCCTACACCCCACCCACAAAACCACACAATCACCACTATAGACTCTAACACCCCCATACAAAACACATCCCATCTCTCAGTACCCACACCACTATATGTTCCTCATTAACCCCAAACACTCAACAGTACGGCTCTGAGAAGCGGTTGTAGGGTTACGCTTAGTGTGTAGTCACCTCCCCCCCCCCCCAATCTCACGCGCTATGCCTGTGTCACTCGTAACCCCCCACTCAAGTGTTGCTAGCTAGTACCTGATTACAGCTGTTTATCGCTTAGCAGTGTGTATATACAGCATGCGGGTTAGCCTAGACCGCACAGGAGGCAGCCAACGTCCTTGGACAACAATTTGGCCGTACGTTTAAAAGCGCGCAATCATTATACATCCTACATAAGCAGATACCACCGCCATCAGGGCTTAATCACATTTCGTTCACCTCCGCAGCTGCACTGAAGAGGCTGATATCTCTGTGCGAATTCAGCTCCACAGGCGCGGACGGCATTCGTCCGAACGCGTTGAAAGTTGCTGCCATGAGTTTTGCAAGACCATTAGCAATTTTCTTTCAACGATCTCGGAGGGAGATGCACGTCCCCACCATGTGGAAGCACGGAATCATCATGCCTATCTACAAAGGTGGTAGCCGTGCTGAACCAACAAACTATCGCCCGATAACACTACTTCCTGTGATCTCCAAGGTTATGGTGTCCATCGTAGCTGAGGCTTTAATGAGGTACCTAGAGAACCACAAAATTCTCGTTCCAGAACAGCATGGATTTCGCCAAAATCGCTCCTGTGCAACTAATCTCTTGATTGCTCGTGCAAACTGGACGGAATCTGTGGACGCTGGTGCAGGAGTCGACACGGCCTACTTGGATTTCTCAAAGGCATTCGACCGTATGGACCATCGCATTCTCCTCCACAAACTCCAGAAATATGGAATCGGCGATCCTGTTCTGGACTGGATAGGAGACTTTCTAGTTCAACGTCACCTGAATGTGAGGGTTAGAAGCAACCTATCAGAATCCATCGAAGTTCAGTGCGGAGTATCTCAAGGCCCGGTACTTGGACCCCGCCTGTTCCTGGCCTTTATAAATGATCTCGCGAGTGTACTATCTTCTAACTGTTTGCTATTTGCTGATAACCTAAAGGCATGGCGAACTATAACTGCAGTGGAGAATCACACAGTCTTACAAGAGGACCTGGACAAAGCGTACCCATGGTCCATCGAGAACATGCTGCATTTCAACGTCACCAAGTGCAAAGTTCTCAGTATACGGCACAAGAGTATGCACAACTACCGCCTAGGACCACAAATTCTACAGCGGGCTTCTCACGAGTGCGATCTCGGCGTGATAGTTCAAGATGACCTCGGTTGTTCGAGGCAGACTGAAAAGGCAGCTAAGAAAGCGAACCAGTACCTCGGCCTTCTTCGCAGAGCCTTCGGGAAGTTTGGCCCTTCAGTCTTTCCGAAAATGCTTAGTGCGTACGTGAGGCCGCACGCGGAATACGCTATCCAAGCGTGGCAATTCTGGCTCAAGCACCATCTCACCGCGCTCGATACTGCACAACATAGGGCAACGAAGAGCGTCAGAGGTTTGACCAGCCTCCCCTACCCACTCAGGCTGAAGACCCACAAAATATAAAGTGGACGTTATCGGCGTCTAAGAGGCGATCTCATAATGGTGTACCAGATCCTGAGAAACCCCAATCACCCATGCCATACCCTTCTAATACTCAGTCAAAACACCTCGCTAAGAGGTCAACAGTTTAAGTTAGTCACGCAGTACATCGCCTGGAATATCGTCGAAACTATTTCTCCCTTCGAGTGGCACAGCCTTGGAACGCCCTCCCGGAACATGCCATTAATGCACCCACCCTATCCATTTTCAGAAAACGCCTTGACGATACCCTGTCACATTTACACTACGTGCTATAGCTCATGACCACCAGATGCTGGCACTAATGCACAACAGACAGGGGATAGTGCCATAACCCTACTCGAGAATGAGTCACTCCAAACGTCTTGCACGTAATTTGATAAACGCTACTACTATAGAAACTGGATTTCTGTATCCTGTGGACCCAAGATAGTTGCACACGAGTAAGCGTTGTCCTTGCTATCTTTTTATTTTTCTCGCCTATGATGTGGACAATAACCACTCCCCTGTTACTTTGTGTGCGTGCATTCACATTTCATACTCCCTTTATACGACACTGCAGTTACATCAGCAAGCGCCCGAACTGACGACTTGTCAAGCTAAACACCCTACGGGACATGTCAAGCACCTGCTTTTTTACCCGTTATAAATTATTGTTCATTGTCCATAGATGGAAGCTCCCTACCACGAGAACTTAGCTGTACGATCGTGCAAGTAAGTTTTCATGGCAGAGGCTAAGGTCAGGTACATTTCTAAAGTGGTGGGCAGTGAACGAAGACCACTAAGCATCCTTCATCTTGCCTTAGGTGAAGGCGGCACCATAAGGTGTCCACGGTTTCGATCCCAGGTTCGTTTACGTTGTCGGTTGGTAGGTCAAAGCGGAAGTAACGAATCCCACCGTCTCCCTTTGTGCGTCGGACATTGCTCAACAGTAACATACCTGGTAGTGCCATTTCAGTATCGCTAATCACGTCGTTCAGCCTGTTCTCAGTTACCATGATGTGATCCCAGTACACTGAGTTTGACATGATCGGCCAAACTACTGATTTACATTTGATTTATATTGCAAATAATGTGGAGCAGCGGATGCCAGAAGCATATCTGGATACACAAACGTCTGCAGTGACTATACGCCGACCTTTTTGAGGCCGACTGACAATCGTATTTTGGATGTATTTCTTGCCTTCTCACAAGAGCTGTTGATAACTGTAGCATAGAGCCTTCAGTACCTAATCTTTCGGAACCGAATGGCGGCGGACGTGTTTTTCCTTCCTCTTCAGACGACTGGGAAGTTGTCTTATGCTCGTGTTCAGAAATGCAGACAGCAAGCTTAGCGACAACTTCTCGCTGGTTTTGTGTTCCCTCAGCTATTAGTGGCCTGCCTTAGACCGCCTTCAAGCGTATTTCTTACGGCAATGGGGTGCGGAACTTTGCCAAATTCCGAGCACTCTTTCAACAATTTGTGTAGGGGTAAACAGGAATTTTAGCACCCTTGGACCACTTCCTTTGTAGTTTCGTGATATGGGCAACCTTGACGTTAAGTGGGTAAAAACATCGTGGGGACAGAGGGCTTCGCATACATAGCGTCACTCTTCCAAGTCACGAGCTTGGACCTGCGACTCGTCGGATGACTGGATTTCAGGGACACCATGGACAAAAATGGATCTTTCGTCGGTTTGCTTGTGGTGTTCTTCTGCGGATTTAAATATGGCTATACACGTTCGATTATGGCTGCCTTCGCAGCTCAGCTCATGTCTGGTGGGAGCACCGCGTGAGCAATGAGTGTGTTCGGCGTTACTTATTTGGTGCAGGAAGAGCTGGTGGACCGTTCAGCACCATTAAACCACACACCAGGCTTCCATGCCTGGGTAACGTGTTGCGCATACCAGCACACCGACTTCCGCGACGTGTATCTTTTCGCACCGGGGGTGCGGTTGGAAGAGGAGAAGGGGAGGCCAAGCGATGACTTGGTCGAGAGAAATGAAAATCCGCACTTCGACGTTGGCATCGGTCGGTGCATACCAACTGCCTGGCTGGAGTCCTAAGGATTATGAACACGTCTGGTTGGACACACTTAGTGATATGACTAGGAGCCGGCCCCAGTGGCGTTTGTGTTGTGAGTTCCTTTGTCCATCCCGCTCCTGCTGAGATCCCCTATAATCACAATCAGATTCTTTAGGCAAAACATAATTCTCTTTTGCTGCACGATAGTCGGCTGTTAGCTCTCCAGAACGATGTCCATCTGTTACTGGAAGCTCAGCCGGCGCTGCTCTGTTGTTTTTCTTCTCTTTGTATTGCGGTGCAATAGCTGTGGTTTTTTCCACCGACAACTGATGATGGTGGTGTTCTCCTGGGTTTTGCTTTCTTTGCGCCGATGCACAATCCGGAGTAGGTTAGGGAACCTACAAATGCGGTGGGCGATCTTTTGGGAGGCGCATTATTAGTGGTGTAGCTTCTAACCATGTTTGGAGTGGTTGCAGACATGCCTGCCAACCTTGCCTTGGGTTTAATTGCAGCGACGACAGGTGCATAAAAATAAATAAATAAATGTTCTATTCCCGGCAGTACGAGGCACGCCTGCGAAGGCAGGATCATGATAATACGAACAGGTATGATCAGCAGGTTAAACAGTAACATACTGAATGTGTGTGTATGTATATATGTAGCTGAGACTGATGTCGCATTCATGATGCTTCTTCACCGCAGTTGGGCTAAACTAACTTACACTTAAACTAGGTCTTTTTAATGTGGATACAATTCCTTACATTTTATTTTAGTTTTGTTCTGCCTACTTGATAAGCTTCTCCCAACTCACACACGTCGCCCATGCAAATTGTGGTAAACTTGCGTAATTTTATCACGTGGTATTTTTTAAAATAACTTTCGGACATTTTGTACTTATCGCGTATTCACATTTAACCAATTTCTTCCATATGCTCATTTAGCGAGTATTTATGTCGTCATATGCGTTTACCTTATTCGATATCGGCATTTCGAATGATTGGCTGTTGTTTGACATCCCAGGTGTGGCTGCGCTTGATGTGTATGTTGACAAGGTGCCTACCTGTCTATTACCCACTACCTCGTCCATACTGGCTCCAGGAGACAGTTGGTCGTTGCTGGAGGGGACGGAGTGAAAGGTCCTCTTGACCGTGCTAGGCTCGAAGAGTGATTCCATGCACTCAGTGTGGAGCGGACTACGGTCCAGCCACCGCCTTGTGTGCGGTTGATCCCAAATACAGCGTGCTTGTGTTTGCCTGTGAAGGCGTGTGGGCCGGCTCAGTTGATTAAACTTGGCTCTCATCCGCCTACCTCCCGGTGTTATGCTTTCGGGTTTACACTGGATATGGGGTGTGTGTTTGGGGCTGTGGGTGCTGCAGCGCAAGCCACCCATGATCCCTCTG